AATCAGAACCATATTTTACACACTCTAATCCTTAATGCTGTCTAGATTCACACACCTTCTGCACATTCACATGAATAAGTCAAGCAGGAAGGTATAACTGTACATACATCTGAACAGGCATGTGGCGCAGTGGATAGAGCCTTGGTGTTGGGATCAGGGGGTCACAGGTTCAAACCCCACTGCAGTCAGCATGTCGTTGTGTCCCTGGGCAAGACACTTCACCCCAAATTGCTCCTGTGGGGATTGTCCACAGTATTGGGTATGGAAGTCGCTTTGGATAAAAGCGTCTAACAAGTAACATGTAATGTAAGGAAAACATTCTCTTGATGTTTAACTGATGCGGATACATCTTTGAAAACACCTCAGCATCTCCTGTCTAGAGTAAGGGGAGGTGGAGCATAGGGTAAGGTTTTGTAGTGCCTCAGGGTTTCAGAACAGCATTTACATCTGCCTGAGGGGCTTACATGACAGGGATGGAGGCCTTTTAACATGAACTTTGGTCACTGAAGAATGGAGACAAGCCACGATGGTGGATGGAGATCACACAACTGCAACTACAACCAGAATGTAATCATGTATATTATATAATGCTAAAATAAACCTGGACTGGTATACAAGTTACATCAGAGACTGTACAGAAATCTGATAATCAGCACTGTAGAATATCAAACACCTTTTTTGACCATGGTGTTTTACATAATTATACAAATATTTGATATTTGGTGATCTTTAGTTATATTTTATTCAGATAATTTAGCTTCTATTTTGTAACAAGAAAACATATAGAGTCTGGCTAATTGTAGATCAATTCCGAGTTGGAGAATAAACTTTGTTTTAATTCTCCAACTCACTAACACCATCTTTAAAGATAATTAGTTCACCTTAATTGTATGTATTTCTGCAGATTTAATTCATGAGTTTGCAGAAATACATCGAAACTCTAAAGGTGTTATCTGCCAAAGGTTCGGCACCTTGCTCTTGTCTGGTGCGTTTCAGGGTCAATAGCCCTTCTGAAGTGCTCCCCCTCAGCAGTACTTGCTAAAGAAGTATCACTTTCACACCCACATGTTCTGATTCAAAACCACTGAGTTGTTGACACTTACCTCAGGTTGTCTTCTCTACTCTTTATAGTCTAGAAACGTTGGTGTTAGATTCTCAGTGCCACAAGAGATATCACAGATGTGTGCCTTGTCATTTAGGTTGGGTTAGCCCAGAGTACTGAGGAGAAGTGAACGGGTTAAGCTTGCTCTCTCTCTTCTATCTCCTCCCACAGCTCATGCTTTAGTTATGTGTTGCTGTTTGTATGCCTCTGTTCCGCACAGCCAGTGGCATCATGTTTTCAAGTTTGTCTGAACCATTCTAGTGGACGCAAGATCTCAGAAACACTCAAGGGTTTCTGGAGTCAAGGGTGAACTAAGATGTTTTTGGTCAAAGACATTTTGGCAGGTGCTATTTGCACACGGGTTGTATAGCCACATTGGGTTTGTTCAAAATGAATATATTAGAACATCATTAATTTACATCCTATATTGCAACATGTACGGAAGAGGATTAGGGCCACATGATTATTTTTTTTGGGAGGATTTGAAAAAATTCCGATTTTTTTGTTCTCAGAATTCTGACTTTTTTCTCACAAAAAAAACAACATTTTTTTTCAAATCCTCAAAAAAAAAATAATGTGGCCCTAATCCTCTTCCGTAAACATGCACACAACTTTTCAAATATACAAACCTTTGCATCACTTTTAGAAATCCATTTTCAATCACCTGTTCCTCACAATCTTACGGAAAAGTGAAAGGAAACTATTTGTATATTTTACCATTTCATTTAAATTACACAAACAGTGAGATGACAGCGTTTTTGTAAAAGCTTTATTTTGTGTTTCATGTATCCTACCTTTTTACATTTAAAACCTTCACACCAAAGATGCACTGTCAACTCTAATTTGGACATGACTTTTGGAGCATGCTTTGGTGCCAAGTAGCCTAATTCTGAGCTATACTGCATTATATGAGGGGTTTGGTGTAAATAGCCAAATACATGTTGTGTAGCTATTTTCACCCAGGTGCAAATAGACACGGAAAAATCGTTTGGCCACAACTTAAGAATCCTCATGCTAATTATGACAATTTTACAGAAATGCCTTATAGGATTAAATGATGACGTTATTACACATTTTGGACAGACGTGGATATGTATTGCATATTGACTGAGTTGTGGAAACATGCAACTGCCTGGCGGTAACTCTAGGTGCAATGTTATCATTTCAGACGGGCTTTGAGCTTTTAATGACACTTGTATCCAACTAACAATGAGGGTATTCAACCATAGGGACACACATGTAAAGTACACTAGCTTCAGATAAGCCTCATTTGTTTAAGTGCTACATATACATGTTTTAATTAGTAGATGTAATTGGCCAATGGGCAGTGGCTACACCTTCGGCAATGACGTGTATATCAAAGGCTAGTACGTAGACTTCAGTGAATATTAGCTATATAACTGTACAAAAAGAAACGAGTGCGGAGAATAAGAATAGATATTTATGCCAGTTCTTTGATAATAAAAGCTGAAACCTGCAATGTGCTCCTTTGAAGAGTTACGGAGGTTAATGCTTATACTTCTCTGCCTCGGTTTAACAGGCGTGGAACCTTTAAATAAAGGCATGTAATACAGCATATCCCATAAAAACATACCTATCAGTTTGCATTTGCGTGAACATGCACTCATGCGCCTGACTGCACGTGCTTGTGTTATGTGCACTTCTTTACAGGCTTTGCAACAGGACTTGTCAAGTAGGTTATGTACAGTATCCACACACACACCGCACATTGTTGAGTCGCCTCTGGCGGCTGCTTACACATCAGACAGTATGAGCATCGGATGCTGACACCAATTATGCAGAAACGGTAGGAACTTGTTGCTTAACCTGACATATCAGTGGGTTGCTGTTCTGCATCATCTGTAGCTCAAGGCTTAGTAGATGTGTGTAAGGGGAAGAGGATACTAAAGCCCAACAGGTACATGATTCCCTCTGGATGACTACATTGAATTTAAAATGATATGGGTAAAAAAAGATGACTTGATATGGGCCCCGCAGGCTGGTCTTTGAACGTAACTGCTGCATGAACATTTTATTACAATGAGTTTTGTTTATTTTAATAAAACTGAAATTATTGAAACATTAAGTCAGAAAATTGCTTTGTTTTTTTTATTGAGTTCTTATAATGACATTGTTTTTATTTCATTTTCAAACAAGCTCTTTGAATCATCTTAATTAATTTAGAAGTCATCGAAAAACAAATATTACATTTCCATAATTTTGGGATGACTTTGTTGAATCGAGTTTTGCTATCATTTGTTGCTGTTATAACTGCAGTATGAATTTCATACTGCAATACTCAAACTGCAATTTCAAACTCCAATTGGTTGGGTAAACATATATTCATACTATGAAACATATTTACCCAACCAATTGGAGTTTCTCAGTATCTATGTGAGCAAGACGTCACACATCATCCAATCGGAGTATTCGAAGCCGCATTAGAAGCAATGTTTTCTTTCGTTGTCATACATTTGAATAGGCAAAAAACTGTGTTGTTTTGATAAATGCTTTGTGTGGGAATCAGGAGTCAAATTCAGTTCAACCCAACTGCTTTCTTTTTTTTGAGGACACCTTAATCTCATTGTGCTCCCTTTTTTGCTCGTATTTTGAAGGCATGCAAGACAGCAGTGTGTCTCTGCGAAAAAAGTCTGAGGTGTGAATTAAATGCGCTGACATAAACATTTCTAGGATTTATTCTAAATGTTTGAGACGTTACCGCAGGATAAAGCTGCTGAGAATACAGTTTGCCTTTTTAAATAAGTCCTTTTATATTGAGTCGCCAATGTCAACATCACCACCAGTCTGCCATTTGATGTCAAATACTATGTTCTTCCCATTTAGTCCCTGCCGAGCCTGTCACATACTTACACATGACTCCAAGCAATATTGAATTATAAATCCACTGCATTGAGGCTGGCACACACTCACACAACAACGGTACATTTCACATCCCAGCTGTCTCCACCAAAGTGAAGGCTAGATACTTTGACAGCATCATCTTTCTGACGTCTGGAGCGACAATTATGAAATGCAGTGACAGACGAATCTGCTTGACTGACACTGTGGAACATCCATTGAATGCTCTAAGTCTGGTGTATTTTGTTCCCTTTTATCTTGCTGTTAATGTATTCTCTTTATCCCTTTTGTCTTCTTTGATCAACATGAAACCTTGTCTGCATTGTTTCTTAGATAAATACCAAGAAACATAAACAATACTAGTTTGATTTAATCCATTTATTTCCACTTTGGCTCTGACTCAATCCCTCTTTTTTCAGAAATGGTAAATTGCATTCCTAAAAATCTATATTTTTTAACCGTTGTGCTTTTTTATCATGATTGTTACTTTTTTTCTCCACATAATACAAAGAACATGCTGATTTAATTATAAAACAGTGTAAATTGGAGGAGGCAGAACGTTTTTGAAATCCCAGTTACGGAGAATTATAGCTACATTTTTCTCTTGACTAAACCTTTACATTTAAAAGCTGCAAGATATGGACTTCGGCTACAAATACATTCCATATAATATTACCTAAGGTTTGTTTAAACTAAATAAAATGCAATTTAAAGGTGGCATTGGTCAGAGCATTCATGTTTCTGTGAAAAGGGCCCAGGAGGTGAACTGGGACCTCTCCAAGTAGCAGTCCACACTCCATATTTAGGTCTGTTCGGGGACTTGAACCTACGGCTCACAGTCTAAGACCCTACTGACTGTGCCACTGCCGGATTATAGTGTTCTTAAAATAGTTTGCTATCTGTGTTTTTTAATTTTACTTTTATGTATGCACCACGACACCAAGTCAAATTCCTCACACGTGTCAACCTACCTGGTAATAAACCTGTTTCTGAATCTGATTCATGGACTCTAAAGTTTCTTGTATCTTGTCTTCAACAGTCTGCACTTCCTGGTTTACCACACTGAGGAGGTCCACGACGTGCTTCGGATCTGGGACGGGCCCCAGGAGGGAGGGGTCCTCCTGAGGGAGCTGAGCGGCTCCTCGCTGCCCCCGGACAGTCACAGCACCTTCAACACCGTCAGCCTGCAGTTCACCACAGACTTCTTCACAAGCAAGCAGGGCTTTGCTATGCAGTTCTCTGGTGAGGATGAAATGAGGGATTAAAAAATAGCAAAGGTTGTAAATAGAGAAAAAACATAACAAAAAAGCCTCTTTCATCATCCATCCATCCATCCATCTTCTTCCGCTTATCCGTGGTCGGGTCGCGGGGGTAGCAGTTCCAGCAGAGAGCCCCAAACTTTCCTTTCCCTGGCCTCATCAACCAGCTCTGACTGGGGGATCCCAAGGCGCTCCCAGGCAAGCAAAGAGATATAATCCGTCTACTCCTTGGTCTCTTCCCAGCTGGACGTGCCTGGAACACCTCCCTAGGGAGGCACCCAGGTGGCATCCTTACTAGGTGCCCGAACCACCTCAACTGGCTCCTTTCGACGCGAAGGAGGAGCGGCTCAACTCCGAGTCCCTCCCGGATGACTGAACTTCTCACCTTATCCCTAAGGGAGACACCAGCCACCCTGCGGAGAAAACCCATCTCGGCCGCTTGTATCCGCGATCTCGTTCTTTCGGTCATGACCCATCCTTCATGACCATAGGTGAGGGTAGGAACCAAAATGGCCCGGTAGACAGAGAGCTTTGCCTTCTGGCTCAGCTCCCTTTTCGTCACAACGGTGCGGTAAAACGACTGCAGTACCGCTCCCGCTGCTCCGATTCTCCGGCCCATCTCACGCTCCATTGTTCCCTCACTCGAGAACAAGACCCCGAGATACTTGAACTCCTTCACTTGGGGTAAGGACTCATTCCCTACTTGGAGTGGACAGTCCATCGGGTTCCTGCTGAGAACCATGGCCTCAGATTTGGAGGTGCTGATCCTCATCCCAGCCGCTTCACACTCGGTTGTGAACCGATCCACTGAGTGCTGAAGGTCGCAGACCGATGAAGCCATTAGAACCACATCATCTGCAAAAACCTCTTTCATCATGGTTCATGGTATTATTATTATTATTATGCATTTATTTCAACAAGGACCATGCATACAAATACATTAATCTCAGAAAAGAGAAGAGATTAATTATGCCAGATTTTAGCTAATAGCTCATTTCCATCTGCAGTCCTTAGGTAGGTACATAACAATCAACAAACACTAAAAACATTGCATATCTCTATCACACAAACAATTATAAAACATGATTTAAGTACAGGTCAATCAAATAATACATAGTAGGGCTGTACATGAATATCCGAATATTCGTTTGTTGGAGTACTATTCAGGTTTCAATTTCGTTATTCGGATATTCGTTTTTATTTATTTCTTTCGTTTTTATTTTTTATATTTTGTATTTATTGAAATCTCCAATATCAACGTAAGCGCTTGTGCCTCTTCGGGGGGTGCTAACACTTAATCATAAACTTTATCGTTTACTTTCTCCGTCTTTATATGTAGATATGACTTTTTCTCCATTAATCTCCGTCACGTTGTTTCCATAGCAACAACAACGTCCTGTCACCAGTGCTAACTCTCCTTCAAAATAAAAGCATGTCCATACAAAATAGGAAGCCAAGCCAAATTACACTTAAGACATACAACTGCAACGAAAGTAACAAATACAATGCAATATCCTTTTCAATTTCAAAGAACAAAATATGGGTTATATACATTAACAAATATAACTATAGAACAACAATACTGTAGAATAACAAAATTAATGCCGTGAATAAACCGAAATACACGTGTAGAAAGGTTCGCTCCTGATTACTACGCACCCCCCCCCGCGCGGGCCACATATCCGAATATTCGCTGCGGAATAGAATACTACCGAATATCCGGAGCCCTGTATATTACAATACAGTTCAAATTGAAAAACTCAGATTACAGTGTAATTAATGTTGGCATGACTGGTTGCTTAATATCAATTTGTTTGCACCATCAGAGAATGTGCTTCAGAGGGACGGTTATAGATCTTGACTTTCTGTAACTCTGCTCACGGCGAAGCTGAAAAGAACATTTCCATGTCAATGATTGAGCATCTTCTCTGTCTTCTTCAGTCTCCACTGCAACCTCCTGCAATGATCCGGGCCTGCCCACCAATGGGACGCGCGGCGGAGACAGCAGGGAGCCCGGGGACCATGTGGTGTTCCAGTGTGATCCTGGCTACGTCCTGCAGGGGGCCAACAGGATCACCTGCACAGAGATCAATGGACGCTTCTTCTGGCAGCCTGACCCTCCCACCTGCACAGGTATATCATCAGTGAGGGCTCATCAGGCTGAATGGAGTATTATCAGAACTTGTAGGGCTCATATCAAATCATATCTTGGTATGACGCATTTCACAAGCACTCTTATCAAATCACATGCATATATAATTATGGAGGTTTGCTTTAATTCAATAATTACCACTGCTGTAATTACACTGGTGTTTTGGATTACTCATCTTAACGTGTAATTAACTTTGTCACACAGAACATACAAACTTTGAATGTTAGTCTTGCATACAGAAGAAAATAATATGTAACGCTCACAAGATCTAGCTATATCATGAATAATCTCAATCAATCTCAATCTTTATTTATTCATATAACACATTTAAAACAACCTCAGTTGACCAAAGTGTTACAGGCAATAAATACATTACATTACATGTCACTTTTATCCAAAAGCGACTCACATACTCAATACTGTGGGCAATCCCCAGAGGAGCCATTTGGGTTGAAGTGTCTTGCCCAGGGACACAACGACATGCTGACTGCAGTGGGGTTTGAACCTGTTGATCCGAACACCAACGCACAACCCACTGCGCCACATGTCAGTGGGTTGTACAATATACAATAACACAATGGGAGTAAAATAATAAAACGATAATTATAAAATTGATAAAAAGCACAATAACTAGAAACATATAAACACATACAAATGTAAAAATGTTATGTTCAACTAGTGTTAGAAGCCAGTGCAAAGAGGTGCGTTTTTAGGTGTTTTCAAGTGTGTCGTTAAAATATATCGCGACAGCTCAAAAAGTTGATATATAAGTATAGGGTAAGAGTATTAAGAACATGGACTAGTTGCAGTTTTATATATACACACAAAAACCCCATTCTTTTGGAAATATGTTACACTTTTGTGGGTAACTTTATGTTTTATAAGATTTAAACAATATTATTAGTTATGACAGAAGATAATTTATCGAAGTTGTTTTAATGAAATCAACTACGCCTTACACCTTCCATAATGCAGTACACGATATCACTTCACTTGCTGGTCTGAAACAGGTAGACAATAAAGATTCCTAACTTGTTTACCTAACAGACTCATTAAGTGAATCCTAAGTGGCAAACCCGATTGCCTCGTTCCCTTGACGATTCCTGAAGCCACTGCAGCAGACAGAGAGATCTGATTACCCTGCCTCTCAATACAAACTCAGACCTCCACTATTTTACTGTCTTTGTTTAATATATGATCACACTTAGTGCCCTACAAAACAATGTGAATTAACAATGGCAATTAAGACCTTGTAATTAGGTGCCCTGTTTAATTAGTTCTTAGCTTAATTAGCTTGATATTGTTTGGTGAAGGGTTAGGAAGGACAGTTGTCTGACAGTCACAGGTGAGATTATAGTGAGTGGTGTCCATGGGCTTTAGCTACGTCTTAATTAAGCATCTGTCACTACTTCATAAGGGGAAACAATATACGTAATACATCAGGACACTATGATTTACAGTTCAAACAATGTATCTGCTACTTGGAAGTGGGTATTTCATAAAGCCTTTGGAAAGGTTATGTCGCTTTGCATTTATTGGTTTTTGTTCAATTTTAAAATATTCAAATTGGAAATTAGATTGAACACCATCATAAGATGTTTGGGTAGCAGAATGTTTTTTATATTAATAACACAGTGGCTGAAAATTGGGGTTTTAATAATTATAATGTATGAATTTCTATCTTTCCGTAGCTCCATGCGGTGGGAACCTGACGGGTCCTGCTGGTCTGATTCTGTCTCCGGATTATCCCGAACCTTACCCCCATGGGAGGGAGTGTGACTGGACAGTTTCCGTCACACAGGACTATGTCATCGCTCTTAGCTTCAACCAGTAAGCTTCAGTAGCACACCATGCAAACACTATATGAGTCCATTTATGTTCAATAATATGTCATCCTAGTATATCAAACAGTAATCTTATTATAACTCCTGGAGCTGCAAGTATTCAAAGTTACCTATTATGCAAAATCCCCTTTTTCATGTATGTTCTACATCAACATGTGTCCCCTCTGTGTAAAGAGACTCTGAAAGTTTCAGGAAAATTGTTGCCAATTTATGATGTCATAACGATTTTTTGGCTTGTGTAACCATTAGCCAATCACCAACCAAGGTAACCCCCCCCCCTTATCACCTGAACCTCCTCCTAGAGCACCATTGTGTTGATTTTAACCAAATATCTCGCAGAGGGGAGTGGCTCCTTATTTTCATATGAAGTAACAGACAGCACTTTGGAAACAGGGCTGAAACAGAGGGGATTATGGGATGCTGCAATGATCTGTTTGGTATTTGGAGCCAAACACTTCAAAGACATGTTTTGTATATATCTGAAACCTATAATATATTGATGAAAATCAGTATAATAGGGGACCTTTAATGTAGCTTCTATTTGTGATTGTGTGTTACCCAGGTTCAGCTTGGAGCCTAGTTATGACTTCCTACATATCTACGATGGGCCGGACTCCCTGGGCCCCCTGCTGGGTAGTTTCTATGGTACAGACGTTCCCGATCGCATCGAGAGCAGCTCCAACACGCTCTTCCTGGCTTTCCGCAGCGATGCTTCCCTCAGCAGCAATGGATTTGTGCTGCAGTACAAAGGTGGGAACCTCTTTGGTTAGAGGAATGAGTCAAACTAAATAATACAATATTTGCCTAATTGGCAAATCAAGCTTTGGGATACTAAGACTTTACATATCTGCGTGTGCATGTGTAGGAGTTTTTTATTCAACATTTTTCATCTCCAGTGTCTTAAGATTCTGAACAAAACTGTGAAATTTAAATAGTATGTGAAGCTTTATCCCCTTAACAATTCATGTTTTAGAATTCTTCCGCTGGCAGAGTGAGAATGGATTTAGCCTCTCTGCTTATCGACCTTGCAGATTGTTTCTTTTTAACTTTCTTTTGTGTCTAGTCCAAAGCGAGTGAGATTAGCGGTGTGAAAATTGCTTCAGAGAAAGATTGGGGTGTGCTGCTGCGTCCTGATCAGCACCCTCCCAATGCTGCTCCAGTCTGCTCCGGCGTCACTATTGATCTGTACCTCCTCTAGTATCACAAAGAGTTAGGAAAATGAAAAGCCGACAGCATGTGTGCTTATGCTCTTTTTGATCAGTGCTTTGCAGCTGCACAAAAGTCTCCTCATAAATTACAGCAAACAACGCTTTGTTGTCTCGTGTCTGCTCAGCTGACCGCAGCATGTTGTTCGGGCGACCCACATCTATTTGCTCGCACAAGGTAGTATGTCCTGCTCACACACCACAGAATGATCACTGGCATCCCTGACACATACACAGCCAGCTGGTTTAAGGATTACACAACACATCTGTGCTTTCTGCTATTGTTTCAGCCTCACAGGGAAACGCCTCAGTGCCTGTATGTTAAAGCCTTTCCCTAACAAATATACATATGCTATACAAGCTCTAAATTAGACCGCGCTTCTTCGTTAAGGGCTTTGCGCTGAGAGAACAGTGTTAAATCTTCCTAAATCTCCCAGACTCAATTAGAACTGTTTAAGGTATCAGACGTTTAACCAATTTCAGATCGACCCTGAGCTCTCAGTTTCTCGGCCGGTGTCGAGGTGGGATTTGATCTATATAAGTTCCAACTGTTCTCAAAACACTACCTGTTCATTTGCAAAACGCATACAAATGGAGTGAGACAAAGTGCTTTGTTTAGACCCTGTTACAGAGCCGACCCCTTAACTCACTCCCAGCTATATTTTCTGCCGTGTGTGAGAAAGTGCGTGATATTGTATGGCCAATCTGGTAAAGCAGATGGACCCAGTGTGTGGCTCCCAGAAACTCCCTCTCCCCACTTCTAATTCTTCACTCTAATGAACCATAACCAAATAATACATAAATGACCTCCTCACTTTTAGATAAACAACATGGCTGAAAAGCATGTTTGGCGGCTGGTTTGGGTGTGCTTGAGATGGCGAGTTGGCCCAGCTAGTATTTGGTCAGCCCGCCACTGAAAATTACATTACACAATCTGCCTGAGGTGCTGTCAGCTTCTTTACCAAGCAATCGTTATGTCTTTCTGTTTCCGTGTCTCAGGCCATGTCTGATTAGACTCTCCAGGGAAATATGTGGGCGGAAACATACCATGGCTGAGCTAGATTTAGATAACACACATACACACAGATATGGACACACATTCTAGCACTCACATCTGTCTAATCCAATCCCTTCACAAACTCCTGGGTTAATTTTCACTTCGCATCAGATCACTTAAAATCCTTTTAGTATCTCCCAAAACAGATGATGCCACTCGCCCACTTTCTCCCACACCTACAAATGTCCCGAGGCAAAGGCTTGTTAAATCGTCCATCTCCATCGAAGTGACCGACCTTCTCACCACTAGCTTGTGTTCAGGACCAGTCCACAACTTAGGCCCGCTACATCCATCACGCCTCCTCTGTCTCCTGCCAGGTGTGCTGCTTCAATGGAGGAGGGGGCGAGGGAAGGGTTCAGGTCTACATCGGCCGGTGAAAGGGCACAACCTGTCTAGAACAGGCGCCCCCGGGGACACACCGACAGACCACCTGCCTGGCCCCCGCTCTCTGTTCGGCCATGAAGGGCAGCCTCGTGTCTGGTCAGCAGGTCCCCATCTTTCAGCTTAGACACTAGGCATTCATCCAAGGTGCTCCATGCACATGATGTCACTAAATCATTAGAAGTTTACATACTGTATGCACACACAGAACATTTGATTTAGCATAGAATGTTCTTGTTTTAAAGCAAAAAGGGAGTTTCATTGAACACATGAGGATGTTGATCATAGTGCGTATTGAAACACCTCTGTAAATCGCAGATGATGAATCTAGTCAAAACGAATATAAAAACCGCCTCTAACATGCTTTTTGGTAAAGGTCAACACTCAGCTCTTCCTGGCAAAGTAAGAACATCATCACCCAGATAGGTAATTTCAACAACTGGAATAGCTACTAATTGCATGAGAAAGTAGTACATCATAGCATTCCTTGCCAGCATCCCAATTGACCTTTACACAAGGATGCTTTTGAAGTATGAACATTGTTTGAGTGTTTGTTTTAAAAGTAAGCTTTTAGCTGGTTGATATCCAGATTATGCACATTTCTCTGAGGTACTGTAGTATCGTTGAAGTTGCTGATAAAAAAAAAAACATTTAGCTCAGTTTCCCTTTAGTATGTGTGTGTGCGTGTAAAGTCATCAAATATTGAAGTTAGATGTGAGACTTCAGCGAGCTGTGTTTAAGATTGAGCTAAATTGCTTTGGGCATTTTTCCTGTGTTTATTTTAGCAGTGAGGGAGTGAAGTGTGCCAAATTGACAGGCCTCCTCTAACGTGCACATTTTCCACCTGAGAACAATGTGATGGTAGAGTGAGCGAGACATCTTTCTCACGACCTCACGAGTGGTGATTGATATGTGGTTAGATACAGTGTGTGAGTGCGCTGAGGCTGTGTGTGTGTATGTTCGCAAAAGAAAGCTTGCGTATGTGCATTGTCTTCTCTAGTTGACTACACAGCCAAGCGTTGTGTGAGAGGCGGTTGTGTGCAGTCAGCAGACCTTGGGCCAGTGCAATGCCACTCTCAATCAGCTGCCTGTCTGTCTCCTCAGCCATACATACCTCAAGCAGCCACAGATGAAAGGGCACCGTCAAGGGCTGGAGAGAAAAGTGGTAGTCAGTGAGATATATTTACTGAGAGAGGAAAGCACAGGGTAGCGGAAAACCGGGTATAGAAAGTGACAAAGGAAGAGATCCGAAAATATCAGGATCCTCAGGCAAAAAAATAATTTCTATTCCAGGATCACCGCTGCAGCTTGATGCAAAAAAAACATCTTATTGAATACCTGCTCACTTTCCTTCTGTTACTGATTTTCCGCCGTGTTACCTCTTTCCACAGAGAACCCCAGAGAGTCGTGCTTCGAGCCGGGCGTGGTGCGCAATGGGACTCGGGTGGGCGCCGACCTCAAGCTGGGCTCCACCGCCACCTACCACTGCGACAGTGGCTACACACTAGAGGGAGACCAAACCCTCACTTGCATCATGGGGGGAGACGGCAAGCCGAGCTGGAACAAACCCAAACCCATCTGCATCGGTAAACACCGTCGTCTGGAGACCGTTGTTTAGAACACCATTGCAATCATTTCTTTAAAGATTCCTCACGTGTTAAAATGCAAACATGAATATGTGGTGTTTGCAAACACATATGTCCTACAGGTATATGTGTAGAGCTGTGTAGATTCTGCTAATGCTAATAGATGTGAGGGTATAGCTTTAATTGAATCTGCAGTTTGAAGAGAGCCTCTCGTTTTGCATATCTGCCCTCACACACACACACACACACACACACATACACACACACACACACACACACACACAAATCCTGCATAAACCTGTTTTCTCCCCTGTTCTCTGACATTTCCCTGACACCACTGACACACGCTGTGCATATTCCCCTGGAAAGCTATAAATCCGGCTCTCGCAGTGTGAAGCTGCAGGTACAGGGCACATTTCCACACATTTAACATACATGAGATCAGCGAGTGCTCGAAAGATGCAGGCATTCACTGGGCATTTTAAGCAGGAGAGGGACCTCATCTTAACCCAGACTAACCCAGTGGGACACTTGGAAAACATTGCAATTTCACTCTGGCAAACACCAGGGACATCTGCCACCCAGAACCCAATCAGACAAGAAAAAGTAATTTAGTAGTAATGGAAGAGAGGCGATGGAGAGGCGGGAGCTCGAGGAGAAACGGAATGGACCTTCTTCTCTGTCCGCCCTGTCTCTTCATGTCTCGTCTCTGTGTCTCTCTCTAGCTCCGTGTGGTGGACAGTACTCGGGTTTGGAGGGAGTTGTCTTGTCTCCTGGTTTCCCTGGCAACTACAGCCATTCAAGAACATGTCTGTACACTGTGGTGGTGCCAAAGGATTACGGTAAGCCATGAAAGAGCACTGAATTACTATATGTTTATTTCTAAATGTGTATTGTTGTGCATATATCAAATCAAGTTTTATTTATATAGCACATTTATAAACGATTTTCGGTCGAGCCAAAGTGCTGTACATATAATAAAAATAGCCTACAGTAAAGACACTTTACAGCAAATACAACAGCACAGATTGTTCAGAATATCAGTATGAGAAAAACGACACCCTCTGTCCTTAGACCCTCACATCATACAAGGAAAAACTTCCAGAGAAAAACCCACAGTTTAAAGGGAAAAATGGGAGAAACCTCAGGGAGAGCAACAGAGGAGGGATCCCTCTCCCAGGACGGACAGACCTGCAATAGATGCCGTGTGTAAATCGAGATAATACATTTTACAGCATAGGTAGTCCAAATGTTAGGAAATGCATGTGTCTGTAATAAGAAGATGAATCTACGAAGATGTCAACTACAATCCTGTGGGAGCCTTCAGGGAGGCAGCATGACGAGACCCAAGGCAGGACCGCAGAGACAGGTTCAGCCACGACCCGAAGTCCACGACTTAATCCAGAACTCAGGATAGAGGATCCAGGACCACAGCAAGAAGATCAGCCTCGACTCCGGATCCCGGCGTAGATATAGACACAAAACAAGAAAAAATTTGGCTGGGTTAATCGGAACAAGAGAATACACAGACACAGACAGACAGACGGAAGAACAAGCACTCCCTTAGAATAGGTTGAGGGCAAAGGGTAGCAAGTAAGAGAGTAAGAAACATAGGTGGAGAAGCACACTCAGGGAACAAGGTCCCCACTGGAGCCTTAGTTGGAAATTGATGAGAGATAGGGAGGTACGCTGTGTCTACGAATTGTAACACTGTCTAAGCCACTCTGCAAACCGTTTCCCTCTAATAAAACCTCGAGAGGTTAGAGAGGGAAAAGGTCTTGGATAAAAGTTATTCTTGATAAGAGAAGCCTAGAAGGCAAGTGTTGATTTAAAAACCCCCAGGGTCTGGGCCGACCTCACATGGAGGTGGGTGTGGGTGTGTGCTGGTGTTTTATTAACATTCAGTTATTATACAATGCACAGAATGCCCTTATCCGGCTCAAACTGTGCTCAAGTGCCTCATTATTTCTGGATATTTGTCCACTGTGGAAACTTAGGAAAGTAGGACCGAAACGGTTGTGCTCTTTTTCCACACCTGAGAAATCTTGGACTTGTTGTCAGATGTGTAGGAGAAAACAGCTTTGAGAAAAATGTTTAAAATAACCAACACACACCGTTTTCTCAGCTTGCATTTAAAGTGTTTCTGTGAGAGGTTGACTGAATGCAGGTGTTTGTTTATATATATTTTCCTCCACACAGTAGAATCACACAGTGATGGATAGTTCCCATTTTTGTCTCATTGCCATACACACATTTTCATATTACTTTGGTATAGCAATTTAATCTGTATCTTACACATCAGGCATACAAAATGTCTGTCTCGGGCACAACCACACACACGCATACAAACACACACACACACGCATACCAAAAAATAATTGGTGTCTAGGTTCTGGATTTTTGCTACTTTTTGGCATTTCCATTTTAAAGGTCACAGTTTGCTTCCAATATGTAATCTGATATTGAAGAAGCCACATATTATTCAGAAAGAAAAACAGTGAGGGAGTGTGACATCTCTCAAACATGCAAATACAGAAGGAAACATGTAACACTTACTTGCCAACAATGTGTCCCTGCTTGACTTTCTCTCCATTTTCTCTCTCTTTATCTCCCTTTTTCTTTGTTTTCCTCCCTCCAGCTCTTTAATGAGTTATCAGCATTGTGCCGCTCTCAAGGGGAGCTCAAGTCCTATCATTGTTAAAAAGCACCAAGCAGCAGCGACGGGCATGTGTTATGGGTGCTAAATTTAGGATTTGAATGCATAGGCCATGCACCCATTTAGAGGTCTGGCTCGCTTAAACAATGCGAGGGCACCCATTCTTCTTGGACCCTCTTGGCAACATATTTCTCTCAATGGAGTCAAAGGGAGAGGAGAAATAATTAAAGTCCACTTTTGGCATTTTCCTTGAAAAAGACACTCTCTGTCGTGCACAATTGTTCTCGCCTCCATTCACTGCCGCTTCTCATTAGTCTAAAGCAACAGCCCTAATGATGGGCTATTTTCTCCAATGCAGAGGACAGGGTGGGTGTCACTGAAACATTGGCTTATCGTGTCATAGAGATGAAGAGGATCTATGGGGAAAAAACCCCACTAAAGATGAGAAGAAAACAAACGCTGAGTCATTTTCAAGAGTAGCTAAAAAAAAAAAAGGTCCTGCCGTCACACCCTATAGAAAGCATTATTCCTTCGTCCCCTCTGCCTCATCCTCTCCATCCTTCTCTTCAACCTGTAATATACAAGTATAATAGACGCAGATTAGATGTGAAAAGGCTGAATATGTTCTGCCAATAGCGGTAGAAAGGGTGAGTGGAAAGGTTGACGGCTCCAGCGTGGAGCTTGAGCTGTACATTGTACAACAGATTAGCTGTCATTACCAAAGCTTTTCATCTACTGACAAGCCATCAAGCCCAGACAGGACTGCTGATCTGGCCATGTAATATCATTTTTAACTGGCAGTATGATCCACTTCGCTTTAAAGGAGACATTGTGATTGAAAGTGCTGTCGGTAATATTCTTTTGAATGAAGATATTAAAGTTCTATGTATTGTGTTAGAATATTTCAAATTGAGTTGTCTATGTTTCTGTGATGCAGTCCCTCTTTCAAGCTAATTTCCCTTTCCTCTGAAGTCAATTATCTTTCCATTTCTGTCTTTTCTAGTGGTCTTCAGTCAATTCGCCTACTTCCAGACTGCTCTGAATGACATTGTGGAGGTTTATGATGGGCCGACACAGCACTCCCGTGTTCTCAGCTCCCTCTCTGGAGCACACACAGGTACTTCAGCGCACACACACACACACACACACACACACACACACACACACACACACACACACACACACACACACACACACACACACACACACACACACACACACACACACACACACACACACACACACACATTAAAATGCAAGAGATGACTCGTTCATGCTTGTACAGCCTTTGTTTCATATTAGGTTTCATATTCAGCACCAGTATTTAACAAATCAGCAAAGGTAATTGGACTATTTCATCTCCTGGTCATTATTTGTCAACATGACGGCAGACTAAATGAAATGTTGTCTTAGCCTTATCCCTTTCATAAGAATCCAGTTAAACTCACAGACAAATTGCTGACACAGGCAGAGTGGTGGGGGCTGCAGGTGGGCTCCAGTGAGCTGTAAAACAATTCAGCGGTGACAACAACTAAAAGAGTAACAGGGATAACATATCAGCAGACAGGCCCGAGAACCCTCGCATGCACATACACCTGAATTTGTATTAGACAAACACACAGCGACTCTCAGGATAACTGCACATACTGTTGTGAAGTCAAACGGCTGTGCTCAAACACAAACACTTGCATGCTGGGTTTAAGCCAGGGAAATAACGGGGACTTTTTCTTCTATCCATTTCATCAAGTGCAATAACTGCAGCCTTAGCAATAACACTTCAAATAAAGACACCTACTCACAGCTGATTCAACATTAGCACAGCTATCATAAATAGTGCATTACAACAGTAAAGCATTATTATTGGGTTAATACTTTAGCATAACTTTTTATCTTACAGTACCTTAGTTGTTGAAATATCTTTATTGTTTTATTAAAAACCATTATCTAACAAACACTAAATGAAAAACAACAAAAAGTGAACATTTATATAATTTCTGATTTGTTTTTCACAGTTTACCATTGAAAGCAATTCAGTGGATTTAAAGTTGCACAACCCTGGCCACATCTTTTCAAACCATAGTTAACATGTTTATAGAAATGTTGTCTCTATACTAGCTCAAAGCCCAAACTGTAATGTACTTTTATTAGTGAACGTAACTATAATTAAAGTGTTTTTATTTGCAATTTCATCTTAATCTTAACTAGTCCCTAAATTAGGTCAGATTTGCCTAAATATCTCTCTTTTGAACAAAAACTTGGATAGATACATTTTGGAAGATTTGAATGAAGCAATAATGTAAGAGGATACCTGTCGTAAGGGTCAAAGTGACAAGGTGAAAGAGACAATATGATGTATTTTGCAATTGCGTTGTAAAATTGCGGATTCATGTGATAAATGCCACAGCTGTATTGATTGGTTTCTAAATAGAAGCCTGGATAGGGGATGTTCAACCTTTCTGGAGTGGTGCAGTGGGAAGGTGTGTGAGTTGAGGGCAGCTTTCCATCTCCACCTGCCCTAGCCCTGTGGCTTGACAAAAGCAAAAAATGATTACTCTGGTTTGTGCCCAGAGCAGCTTCAGAAAATCCAGTTTACAGCTCAATAAACAGGCCGCTATATTAACTGAGGACTCCTGGCGGCAGGTTCACAGAGCTCTCTAACCAGGCATGGCAGAGCAGAGCTGACACACTTTGGCAAGGGAAGAGAGACTTACAGCCCAGCAGGCTGAAGAACTAGTGCATGCAGGCATAACTAGCCTGAATTAGGCATAATCCAGAAGTGTGTACCTGGCATCCACCATACAAATACACAGGCGCTAACATATCGACTAACATACATGTTTGCAAACTTAATGAGCATGGAATTAACCAATACGGTCTAACAATGCAAGCAGTAAATACATGACCAGATCATTTATATTGCAGTGGTTGGCACAATATGATTTGCTGAATCACATAAGCATATTATTGCATTAAACTAGGCTCAGCATTTAACAATAGGTTTTAATTACTGTCACATTTGGTAAGGAATATACTGTAAGTTGTTTTTCAAAGAAACAATGCAATAAATGTTCTTTTTGGACACAGACAGAATACATCTTGAAAAGTGAGAGTTGAACAAGGAAAGATTAAAGGTAGGAATTAGAAATGAAAAGGAAGCGACAAGTAGAAAAAGAAGGACAAAAGGTCTGCATCAAGTTATCTAAATGCTAATTTTGACTTGATTAACAGGACAAAGGAAAGGGATTACTAAAACATGTTGATTTCACATCATGTGATCCCAACCAGATGTCTTCGTTTTTTACTTGAAACAATTTGAGTTAACAGCGGTATCATTGATCTCTGATATTGTTTTCAATGCTGTTTCAAAAACTCTTCACACTGACACTGAATTTTGGCCATTGCCTTTCAGCCAAAGTCACATCTGTCCTTCCAAGTGTTTAATATGCCAGCGTAAGGTTCATTTCAGGGGAGAGTGGGTCAGGGGTTGGAGGGAGGCCAAAGGGTTGATAAATAACATGCTGACACATGTTTGATAAGACTGGATGAATACCTGCCCCGCACTGCACATTATGAAACACTTTCACCATGAAAGCACACAGCACGGGTGTCTTCTAATAAACTACCCAGCATGCCTTGGGGATCCTACAGTGGAACTCGAACAATCATGGCAATGACATCAATGAACTATGCATTCATAGGACACTACACTTAAAGGCGCATTAATATTCAGACACTAAAACGTGTAAGCACAGGGTAGACAAACACACACACACAAATTCAGACACATAGATGTTGCCTCTGGGGCTAAGCATGTCTGCCTCCCCACACAGTGTGACAGCAAGCAGACACAGAGTAATGAGCAGCGCCGCAGAGAGCCAGTCAGCGGCACACTGAGAGAATCAGAGATGCTCACACCTTGTGTCATGTTCTACGTCAGTCAACAAAACACCACAGCAGATGCATCGTGGGAAGTTTAATTACACCATGAGCTGATGATGATAGTAGGAGATCATATCAGTGATGCAGTCATGAAATATGAGCATTAATAGTAAGATACGTGACATTTTGGAACAGATACATTACCTTTGAAGGAAGTATTTCATAGTGAACATAAAGTACTGAAATTGACCTCGTAGGGCAAAACAAGCTGCATTGTAATTACATGACTAAATCCATACACAAAAAACTAAGATAACACAAAAAAAGCTATTTCTGAACACTTATTTTAAATGCCATTTACAACAACAACAAACAGAAACCCAAAATAACACATTTCCTGTTTCAAAACTTGCTACAACAACACAAACATGATCATTCTTGGTCTTGAGTGTGTCAAATGGACATCTTCTAAGCCCTGGTCAGGTGACATTATTGTCTCGCCTGCACAGTATGCTGTTAGCACGTTCCTATTGTAGGCAGGGGCTTAATTGTGAAGGGTGTTGCACTGCAGGTAGTTAACCCACCCCTAAAGTTTGCTGTTGTATACACAGGCAGTGAAATAGTACAATCAGGGGGGGGTGTTGATCTCGGCAGCTGGTCCTACAGCACGTAAGAGTCTCGCTGTATGATTTCAAACCAGCTTCCAATTATTGAGTTAATGATTTGTTAATTAGGGTTGTGAACCGAGGGTAACAAAAGTCCAGCTGGTGCAAAACAAAGAAATGAACCTTGAAATAATAATAATAATTCTGAGCTGGTAGAAAAGCAAGCTTATCATCAAATGTAGCTTCAACTGTAATCTCCCTGAACAGTACTTGATGTGGGCAGATTGTGGTCAGAGGCACAGCTGTAACACACTAGTATCAGTGGCAATACTCAGGACTTCATTTGGTCTCAAGAGGCTGAAGGAAATGATTTGCCATCCAATAGCACATACACGTAAAGTAAAGTATGACAGTAAAATATGAGGATAATCTTAGTAAAAGCAACGCATTTGCATATTAGGATTTGCTTGGTATACCTCAGGAAGCCTTATTAGCATGTTGTATTTTTGTCACAGTAGGTCCATCTGTGAATGTCTGCCAAGCACTGCTCTAGACTAAACAGCAGATTTTCACAGGCATCAGATATCCAAAGACTGGTTTTTCACACTTTATTGCCACGCTGTACAAGACCATAGCTTCTAATTATATCCATATTCAGAGAGCTGCGTGATGCCCTTCTTCACACAATTATTAGCCGATTTTCTTTCCACTTGAAAGAGTAATGCTGCACACACAGATAGACTGTCTAAAATGCACAAATACATTTTATTTCTCCAGACGGATTTGGAAAATAACAGTTATTTAACAATGAAGCGGATTAGATGGTTTACTTATTTATTCTCAGGGACAATACAAATGTATATGTGCCTCTGCAAATACAACACAAAACATATAGAACTGGAAAAGGGCTAAAGCAAACCGCATCAACAGCTGCCCAAGAAACCAACCTTAGAGTAGAGCAGCATCATTAAAAGAAGGACAACAAAGGGAAATGAACACAAAACAATGTTAAGCATACAATCAGCACAAACAGTTAAACATGACAACACAAAATCAATAGCGATTAGGTTGCTAGACACAGGTTATGTGCCCACATAAATATAAATGGATGCAGCACTTTGCTAAAACGTTACAAACTCTGTTTTTATCTTTTCTCTTATTTCAGGCGAGTCATTGTCATTAGCAACTTCCAACCAAATTCTAATCCGCTTCACCTCCAAAGGCCAATCGAGCTCCGGAGGATTCCACTTGGTCTACCAGGGTAAGTGTTTAACACAGGCACACAAACAGACCCTACTGTTGTTTTCCTCCTGGATTCCCTCTGCTCTATTAATTCCCCCCATAATAGTTGTCTTGCTTAGTGATTTCCAAAGTATTCACCTTCAGCTACTATTTTAACTGTGATGTGCTTGTGGGTGCATGTGTGTGTCAGCAGCAGTGTGTGCTCTGAAGCATTAACACTGCAGAAGTATAGCAGTCTGTTCAAATGGTTGTGCTTAAACTCCCCCCGTTCTTCTATTCCCCTAAGAGGGACTTTTTCTCTTGAACTGCTTACTTTCCTTACACAATGCACTGTACCAGAAATGACATTTGCTGCAGATATCCAAAGGCAAGCTCAGGAGAAAGTTTAATGAATAAATAAATCAGTTTTAGTGTCTATTGTAAGTAAGCTGAGGGAAGCACAAGGCAAAGAGAAGCTGAATATTATATTTTGCATTATGTATATCAGACACAGTGAGATTACTCTGAAAATAACACCTATTCTAACTTTTCTACCAAATCCCTCCGTTGATCAAGCTTTTAAATGATTAAAAAAGCGTACAAATATTTACGAGTAATGGCTATAATCAGTCGAAGACGAGCAAAACGGCCTAATGATTCGTTGTAGATGTCACAGATAATGATTTAAAATGAACACACCTGTAATCAGCCTATTTTTCACTGTTTTCTCCAAAGCTGTGCCACAGACCAGCGCCACCCAGTGCAGCTCCGTCCCTGAGCCCAGGAATGGCCGCCGTATGGGAAACAACTTTGCCGTTGGCGCTGCGATCCGCTTTGAATGCACTCCGGGTTATACGCTGGAGGGGCCGAGTGCCATCGAATGTTTGACGGTTCCCAACGCCCTGGCACAATGGAACACCACCATACCCAGCTGTATAGGTAGGCACTGATACTCGTAATACAGTCAGCAGTCACGAACACTCACCAGTCAGCATGTGTTTGTTTTCCTTGCCTTTTTCTTCCTATGTTTGTTTTTCTTCACTTTCTTTATTTCCATCCATGCCGCTATCTTTGTGTTCCTCCCACTCGATGCCTTGAGTGTCAAACTCGTTACTACGACCCAGATGTGGGCTGTCTGCCGTTGCCTCCAGCGATACAGCAAGATCCAGCCATGTAGCACGCAGGTGGCAGGCACCGCTGAGGGTCACAAACACACAGACACACACACACGCTCTCATATGGCAATACCCGCATGTATATTCAAAGGAACACTCCAGCACACCGTACATACAGCTGTAACAGATGCTCCTATGCTTTCACCAGATGTGTGAATGTGAGGAACAACCTGGGAAGAAGATGAAGACTAAACAAAGCGTATCATGTATAATGTGCATGTTCTCTTCTGTGTGGCCATGTCTTATGTCTTTTTATCCTGCTTATCATTGTGTTCCTGCAATTTCAGTAGCAAGGGCCACACCATGAATCGCATTTGTATCTAATTAGGAATAATCACAATCCTATTCTGCTTACTATTTGCGTTTTGGGGAAGCTTTAATAATAATAATACTAGTAATAGCTTGGATTTATATAGCGCCTTTCAAGGGACCCAAGGTCGCTTTACAAGTAATAGGGCAAAAACAAACAGAACAAAAGTCAGACAAAACAATAGATCGATTGAGGGCCCTTTTGAAGGCGTCAAGTGTGGGGATGTTGCGAATCTCCGCAGGGAGAGCGTTCCAGAGGGTGGGGGCTGCCACACTGAAGGCTCTGTCCCCGAAGGTTCGCAGTTTGGTGCGGGGGGTGGTAAGCAGGCTGAGGACCGCAGGTTCCGGGGCGGGGTATGTGGGTGAAGGATGTCCGATGTAGGATATGCGGGACTTGACCGGCAACCAGTGTAGGTGGATGAGGGTGGGAGTGATGTGCTGCCAAGGCTTTGTGTGCGTGAGTACCCTAGCAGCACAGTTTTGGACATACTGGAGCCTGTCCAGGGTTTTGTTGGGAACCTCGAACAGGACACCATTGCAGTAGTCCAAGCGGGTGGTGACAAACGCATGCAGGGTTTCGGCAACCGACTCCGAGACTTTGGTAGAGATTCTGCATCAAACCACCTTCCAGACTTTTTAATAGAGGAGGAATTAGAGATAGATGCAGATAAACAGAGAGAGAGAGGGAGGGGTGAATAAAAAACACCAAAAGGGAGAGGGTTAGGTGGGTATTATTATCATTAGGAATGCAAGGAGTGACGCCGTAGAGATGTGTTTGATAATGTTCCTTTTTCCCTGCAGTTCCATGTGGAGGTAATCTGACCCAAAGAACCGGCACCATCTTATCTCCTGGCTTTCCTGAGCCTTACCTCAACAGCCTCAACTGTGTCTGGAAGATCACGGTCCCCGAAGGATCAGGAATCCAGGTTTGTAAAACACAGTTTCTCCCTGGCATTGCTGTACCTCCTAGATCAGTGATTCTCAAATGGGGGTACGCGGCCCCCTAGGGGTACTGCAGGGGTACTGCAGGGGGTACGTGAGGTAAAAATAAATAAAAAGGTTAATTAAAAAAATACCATGCATGTTTACAAAAATAATCTTAGTACAATAAGTTAAATAGAAAACACAATTTTATATAAAATATTCCTAGAACCACTAACGGGGTCCTCATATAAACATGTTACATTTGTGTATTGTATTTATAGTTTTTAATAATTCATTTTAATTTTGTTCATTGGTTTGTTAAACATATTAATTCAATTGAAAAACTCCTTGGAAAAATAAAGCATAAAGATGAAAATATCCTTAGTTTGTTGTAATGTATGGATTAAGGAGTTAATAAATCAAACACTGAGGGAACATCACTATATTGTAATTATTTATATAGGCTTTTTCTGTCAAAAATGTCCGGGGTCGGTCAGGGGGTACTTTGCTGAGAAAATGTTTCAAAGGGGGTACATTACTGAAAAAAGTTTGAGAAGCACTGTCCTAGATGACAGATGTATAATGAACAGATCTGATGAACGTGAGTAAATCAGAAACAGATTCCACCATTTTTTTTTTTTAAATCGTCACGTCGGTTATCGTCACGACACGATATATCGTGCAGCCCTATTACCAACACAGTGTACATGTATGTTACATCCCCCCAACGTATCCCAATCCAATATGGAATTTCAGGAAGTAACACTAAGTTAGTGGTGAACAAATATGAAAAAGGCGGGATACTGGCCATGTCCAAATGTGTGTTTTTGGAAGGAAAAGAGAGAACCCGTAAATACCACTATAGTCACTCTCTGGCTGCAACCATTACAATATAAATGAACTTTTTAAAACCTTGGACAAACTGTTAACGGAATTTACATATTTTAATCAGCCTTTAGCTTTTAAACCTCTGCATTGTCTTGACACAAAGCTCCTGTGGGGTGATTTGTGTTCAGTTGGCAAAGGGCTAATTACCAGATCTACCGTATATCACGTTATAGCATTTACAGCTCTCGAGGTACAGGTGAGCGCTAAACGAAAAAGTCCACACACTTTACAGGGGCTCCAATTGAACTATTCCAAAAACCTAACATTGCACATATTGAAATACACTTGTATATAATTGCATGTTCAATCAATTTACTTACTTCCTTGGGAGTTATTTATATTTGATTATTCTTATTCTTTCACGTGTTATGGAACCCCACCAGGAACGTGTGCGAGGTCCACTGTGGCTAATGACCTCAGTGTAATCCCTACGCTATTAGCTCCTCCACTTCAGCTGACTGTCCATGCAGGTGAAATACATGCAATGGCCCACCAGTGCATTTAGCATGTTGCTGCACTACACGCTAACATCGCTATAGCCTGGAGGTGGAGCACACCCAGAATAAGAACAGAGAGCTGGCTGCACACACACACTCTGGAGGGCAAAAGGCATTACACTGGAATTCAAACATACATGGCTGGAACAGTTTACTTTCTTAATGATGAATGAGTTTGTATTCTGTGCACACCCTGGCACTCTCACTTCATTGCAAAGGAACCACTGCCTGTGCTTCCAAAATGTGTCGTGCTAACTGAAGAGGGTTTACTGCTGTTTCTATACTCTCTGCAGCTAAATCCTGTTTCCAGCCCACTTTATGTCGTCCTTCTCTCTGCTGCTCCCCTTTTACCAGCTGGCAGAGACACATTAGATTGGAGTGTCACGATCCAGAAGACAACTTAAAGGAGCAAGGTGCCTTGCCGGCACATTTGCCGTGGCCCCCTAATGAAAGATCAATCTGTGATCTGTGCCGTCTCCCAGGGATGCGCCAGAGCCCCTACAGCCCCTACCAACCTTTAATTGGCTCGTATCCGATCTATAACCATCTGAGGCAGGGAGAGGGCCGAGGAATGGATGAGAGCGGGAACAGAAAGGGATGCTTGGAGAGCAAAACAATGGAGGACACGTAGAATGTTGGAGAAATGGATGAATTTGAGCTGAAGACAGAGATCAAAGAAATGCAGTAGATGACAAAGTGTAGCCTTGTTTACATATTCACTTTATATTGACCTGTCAAATTAAAGAAATAGGAGAAGCCATTTCCTTTGGTGAGCATTCAAAAGCAAAGTAAGTTTTAAAATCCATAATTTAGGCAATCTTTGAGAATCCAGGATGCTATTGAGTGAGTGGTGTGTTCTCTCAACAGCAGTAACTGTTGTTCGAGGACACACTTATTTAGATTCAGATATTCAGTCAGCTTTTCTTTGAAGAATATCCCACATTCTCTGCAGCTGTCATAACTCTTTCTTAATTTAAAATCCAATGCACTTGAGCACAGCCTCCTTAAAGTGTCTTTGAAATACAGAAAATAAACCAAAGAAATGCTATGTTGCAGTGACTTGATTTATTCTGTTGGAAATCCTGATCTTTAGTTTGTTCTAAAGTCCTCAGGGACTGCACTTTAAACAATATAAAAAGACACTAGTATACAGATTATGATTTATTAGAGGCACTATCCGTGTTCCTGTGAATCAATTCATTAGAACATGCTTTTCTTGTGGTATTAGTTTGTACATAGAAATAGCTTTGTCATGGTAGGATAACCTTTTTTTGTTATTTTGACAAAGAACTTACTCTGTCAGGTCTGAGACAGCAGCTACAGGGTGTCCGCGGGGTCTTCATTATTTTTAAAAGTTGATAAATCAATTTAGCGAAAACGGCATTTCCAAGGAATTACATTTTGTAGCTTGTTTTCAATAAGTATATAAATGGTCCAAAGAGGTTGTATTCTACAGTCTGCCTGAATGTAATCATTGCGTAGGTGTGTAGTGTGATTCTGTGTAGTTTATTTATGGCATCCCGTTGGATTGGACGTCATCTGAACAGGACATCGCACGCTCACTGCTTGATAGCGCGAAGCTCCGTTTACGCCGGTTGTTAAACAACATCGTTATGGGGAAATGCAAGTCTGCGTCCAAATGGTTGGAAGATAAGGAGGAAGGACAATCAATACTGAATATAGTCAATGTGAGGTAAAGTGTGTCGCCAATGTAACCGGTTAAAACTCCAAGTGGCGATGAGGTCTTAAAATGTATGGAAAGGGTCTTAAAAGGTATTCAATTTGACTTCAGGATTCCTGCATATACCCTGAGCTACGACAATAGTTACTAGCCGAATGGCCATGCTTTGTAGTTCTTCACTTTTGCCATTTTTCAAATGCACCCTTTTATGCCATGTTCTCCCACTCAATAATCTTCAACATTCGTTCATTCTGATTTCCCTAGACGCACCGATGACCCAGCACTCACTGCTCTGCTCCCTAAATCCCGTCCTGTTTGATCTGTTTTTCCCCCGTTCCAGATCCAGGTGATCAGCTTTGTCACAGAGCAGAACTGGGACTCACTGGAGGTGTTTGACGGAGGAGACAACACCGACACCATGCTTGGCAGCTTCTCAGGTATTGCTGTATTTGTGTGTGCATTTAATTTTCTCGCATATGTTAAATTGTGATTTCAATGTTTTGTCCCACCTTAAGCCTTCACATGAAACACATTTTTTAAACCTCTTATCTGTACCTGCCAAAAGCATATTTGAAGCAACATAAACACAACTTAATTAGTTTTCACAGAGCAGCATGCGACCTGGAACACATACTGTATTTGTTAACCAACATGTTTATATATCTGTGACTCGTTTGGCACGTAGATTACATAAAGTGGATTAAGGCTTCCGGGGGAAAAATGTGGAAAGTTAAAACATTTTAACTGGTTAAGCCTCACGTGGAAGAGTCTTGCTACATTTGCCTTTTCTTTGTGTAAAGTTAAAGAAAACATTTGCTTCTCTGTGACGCTCCTCTCATAGTGAGGATGCAGCAACCGGGAATTCTCTTTGTTTGTGCTTGGAACCTGGCCAAAAGTAAATGTTAGATGTGTACCCTGAAGTAAACAGATGAAAGAGGAATTCCAGGCGCACAAATATGAGTTATTAAACGACACATTTTAGGTCATACCGTGTCTGAAGAACATGGGATTTTATTGAGCAGGGTTTCACTTCTTCCGCTGAATACATACACACATATTGGAAGAAACAAATTACTCGTTAACGCGAGTACATTCAAATATATTGCATTCACCAAATACCACCTATGTACAATTATTCATGTATGCGTTTATGCTGTATTCACACACGCATATCACATACCCTTAAGTCTGCGAATGTAAAAGGAACACACTTGTCCTGCTATTTGCCAGTAGCTTATACAGTTAGTTATGGTCAGCCGAGGCGGGAGAGAACATTTCTAAACTAAACTATTAATCTTCTTCCCAAGGCACCACAGTACCTGCGCTCCTCAACAGCACCTCCAACCAACTCTACCTCCACTTTTTCTCTGATATCAGTGTGTCTGCAGCTGGGTTTAGGCTGGAATACAAAAGTAAGTAAAAAAACTATTCGTACCACTTGATGGAAAGTAGCAACTCCCTGAGGAGGAATATATTAAATGGAGTACATTTCTTCTAAAAACTTGCTGGTTGTCTCGCTTCCCATGGCAAGAAGTCTCTCCTGCATTTAGTATCCTTTTGCATTTCTACTCCTGTTCTTGTTTCTGCATAATTATTAATTTGCCTTCTTGTATTTCTTAGCGGTTTCTCTGACCAGCTGCCCAGAGCCTGTGGTTCCTATGAATAGCATCAAGGTTGGGGAGCGTCTCCAGATGAACAATGTGGTCTCTTTCCAGTGTGAAACTGGGTATACTCTACAGGTAACAACACCTAGCTTCAGATATGCTTCAGTTTTAAGTGACCATAAAACCACCTCGATGCATTTTACAGATGTGCATAAAGCCAAATGTCACAGAACAGATGCGGTGGTGGACTAGATGGACTCAGTGTCGGCCAGCCATGTCTTTACAAGTGACATGTTCCTTTTTCAGCCGCAGTGAAGTGTATGCTCTGTTATTATATCATTGTTGACATATTTGCCGCATCATACAGAGTACTGTGGCTTGAGCATGAACAGGTACCAGTTAGGGAGCGTTTAAGTATTATTTGCATATTTTTTTCCGTGAGCAAATTATGCGTGGGCTGAGATTAATATACAAAGCTAGTGTTGTGAACACAAGCCTCCAAGTTTGACTTTGTTTTGCACATCCTTCAAAGGTCCCACTGTATTCATGGGTTCAGGAGACAGATGGTGACTCAAAAAACACACTGGATGCAGAAGTTTACACAAATGATATGATAAAGTTTCCTCTTCACACTTCACTACACACATCTATCAGATCTTCTCAAATGTATCTGACCAGGAGTTTTGGTTAGGTTTGTTAGCAGCAGGAAAAACATCATAACATGGGGAAATATATTCCAATTATATCAAACAATATGTTCTTTCAGGAAGTATTAAGTTATGCTTCTAATTTGCTATCATGTAAATGACCAGGGTATTGCTTTGAATGCTTCCCAGTATGTGCAGTAAAAACATTATCAAGGATAATTATGTAAACACAAATAAGTAAATATGTGACCCGCTCTATCGAAATCAGTCAGAAGTCGCAACGGCTCATTTCAAAATAAACGTGGATTTGTGTAAAGTAATTGTTTTTCGGGGTTCGGGTGTTTTGTTTGATTTTAAATAAATAAAGTCTTGGCTTTCAGAATATGAAACTTTTATTTCCAAAATCACACGATAAATACATGTTTGAAGCTTATAAAGGGAAGATGACAGCTCTCACTCGCACCCTGCTGTTCCGCAGCGCCGCTCCCCCTCCCTCCGGCTGACATTATGAATGTAAGGCTTATAGTAATCATAAATAACACGGCAGGGTCCGTTACAGTTTATTTTCATCGGATTCCAAATAAACAAAGTCTTGGCTTTCAGAATATTAAACTTGTGTCGGCAAATTCAGATGATAAATACAACTTTGAAGCTTGTGACGGCATAATTACAAGCGGAGAACGGAGTAATTTAACGTCACAGCAGGCGTAACAACAGCCGGTGTTCGTCGTGAGTGTTTTCCCTGGGAAACAAACACAATACACACAAACGCAAAAAAACACACACACACTCGCGAGCTTCCCCCAGACCAGTAATCCAAACGAAAATATTTTCCCTCCGTTCTCCTTTGATCATTTGCTCCGCTCAAAATCAGATCGATGGATTCTAGAGAAGAGAAAACTTTGAAGGCCTTTTTCTCAAAATGATGACTCGGTGACAGTCATATATAATGGGACATATTCTGCTTAATATTTGGAGTACAACAACAATCCTGATATCATTAGAAAGCTAGGAATCTCCTCTTCCCAACAGTGTATACAACTCAAAATGTGCCTTCGGGTCAATGCGACAATTCGATAGAGCAGGCCACATATGTTGAAATACAATTTGAACACCGAGTTACTTTACTGATGCTGTAAAATCACAGATATCTTACATTCATGTAGGCAGAAGTGCGTTGTGGTTTCCTATTTATAAAAAATGATATGATTTTAAAATCTGACTGAAACTCAGACCCCAAGCAAACTCTAGCTAGATAGGGTAAAGAGGAAACATGAATATAATCCTGGCCTCAAGCTTGAAAATATCTGAAGTCATTATCACGCCTGGAACTTTCAGTCCTTAATCAGTGAGACATGTGAAAGAGCACATTATAACAGTTCAGTAGCCCTCACCAGCATGTTGTCCTGGTGCTCAAAGGAAAAAGGTCAGCTGAGTCAGCCCATTATGGTCCAACAACAGACTGTATCAAATGTTCCATCTTAAAGCAAAGTCAGTATTGAATCTCAGCTGCAGAGCTTATAGATTGTTTATATGTCTTATTTGTGGCAGTGGACCAACAACCGTGATCATCTTAATGTACCTGAGAAGCTCCCTCTCTATTGTTCTGTCACTGCAGATGGATTTAGTCATTATGTCGCCGCATGAAGTCATGTGGAGACAGGAGGCAGGTTCAAGTAATTGGAGCAACAGATGAGTGACAGAGGATGGGGAAATTAATTAATCGCTTGTTCTTTGTCGCTCTCTTCTCTTTGTGTGTGTGCATGGATGCTTCTTGCAGGGAAACTCGCATATCACCTGTATGCCGGGAACTGTCAGGCGATGGAACTACCCACCTCCTCTCTGCATAGGTAAAAATATCTTCTTTCCTTCCCTCCACTTCCACATCCTGCCCTCCATCTGTTTTGGTTCTCCATCTATCTCCATTCCGATAAAGATCCTTCAGTTTGCAGATGCTAACTTTTCTAAAGAATACACAGATAATCACTTTCAATATCATCAGCCTTTTAAATGAGAACAATACATTATCATATAACTTCTGAATGACTAAAGTTGACAAAGATATGTTTAACCTTTCCAATACTGTTTCTCACACGCAGCAATCATTTATATGTAGACTATCAGAAAATGAAGAAAATACGTGAGATAAACAAAAAAGCAATGGTTCACTAGTTTGTCTTTTTGTTTGTGTTCCTGGAAGCTTTTGCACTTTTAAAATGAGTTTCATATTTCCACCCTGAAGGCTGAGCGTACACACTGAATGTAACTGCATTAGCTTCCTTTCTATATTGCACCTCAAGTCTTGAGAGTGAGATTGCCTTTTTCAACTTATTGGAACAACCTACCACTGCCTAATTAGTTCCATCTCAGACTGTGATTGGTTGAAGTCGAGGGAAGATTCATCGTGTTCACAGGCATCAGCAGTTTCCTGATTAACTTTAAGCTTTCGGTGCTGCTACAGGATAACATTTAACCGCTGACTTTTTTCTAACAGAAACACGACTATACAACACCCTGATTTTCTCTCAGTGGTTTCTCCCTCCCCTGACTTATGCTGGCATTTATTTCTTAATCTACTCCACTGTGTTTGCTTTTCCCCTTTTGCAGTACCTCTGCCTTTTTTTTCTTTGCCTTAAGTCAGCTAATTCTTTTAATATTAGTTTCTGCATCCTTTCATCTTTTTAATATTGGTTTCAGGAGGGTCTTTCCCTCTTTTCGGCGTTCATTGGTTTTACTCACTTCAGTCAGGAAAACATTTACCCGTCAATGGTTTTAAGATGAAAGCAAAAAGGATGAAAAGCAGAAAAATAAATTGTATGGAATCTCGAGTCAAAAAGAAAAGAGCTCATAACTATTTAATCAATGATGTTGTATTTTTTACTACACCTAACTTTACTCATATAAAGTCATCAACAATGTTTCTATCGGTGGCATTGTGGTTTAAGAGTTTTATTTTACAAACATAAAAACATATTGTACTACGTATAGTATTACTTAAATGTGTGAGGATCAGTTTTTGCACATGCTAATAAATGCTTTGTCTGCCCTCTGTCAGCTCAATGTGGAGGAATCAGGGAGGAAAATGAGGGTATGATTCTCAGCCCTGGTTTCCCTGGCAACTATCCTAGCAACGGTGACTGTACCTGGAGAATATACCTGCCAGTTGGATACGGTGAGTGTCGTGAGAGGCTCTTTTTCCAAACTCGAAAACTTTCAATTTTGCAAACTAGTGTTGGAGAGTGACAACATTGGTAGTGGTAGATAATTTAAAGAGGACATATTATGTTCATTTTCAGGTTTCATATATGTCAATTGTGGCTCTACTGTGACATGTTTAAATGGGTTATTGTTCAAAAAGGCCTTTACTTTTCTCATACTGCAGCACCTCTTTTCACCCTCTGTCTGAAACCAGAGCCCAGTCTGCTCTGATTGGTTAGCTGGCCAACTGATGTGATTGGTCCACTGCTTAGAGATGTCCCGCCCCTTAATTAACCTATCATGTACAATGTGTTGGAGCGCTAGCCAAAAGAAGCGCAAGTGTTACATAGTGATAAAAGTCAAGTAGTGAACAAAGGTGTCCACTGGAGGAGTTAAGGGGGGAGTGTGTTGGAGAGAAACTTCCTCTGGAGGGAACACAGGGATTGTAGCCTTTGCAGACAATTTACATACACAGAAACCTAATCTGAGAGCCTGTGCCAGGGGTCCCTTAGTAGTACTTTAGCAGGAGAATGGCATTGCCTTTTCAATTTCCTTATACTTCGTTCTTAAAAAAATGACTTTGTTCTTTCCCCAGGAGCCAACCTTCAGTTCCTCAACTTCTCCACCGAGGCCAACCACGATTTCCTCGAGATACGCAATGGGCCCCTTGATACGAGCTTAGTGATTGGCCGATTCAGCGGCCAGGATATTCCCTCCTCATTACTCACCACCTCCCACGAGACCACAATATATTTCCACAGCGACCATTCACAGAACAAACCGGGGTTCAGATTCGAGTACCAGGGTAAGAGACCTAGAGGAATGTGTAGGGTGGTAAAAGATACTGAAGATTGAAGCAGAAAATTATGATCAGCCCCAGGATTGTGTCAGATAAAATGTGACTTTGCTAATATATGTTTATAATAATGATCATAATCACCATGGCGAAGACTTGCAGAGCTGAGCCCGTATCAGCATTATGAGTTACTTTCTTCTTGCAAAGCTTCATCAATTGAGTAATTACTTCAGTGTGACTGGAGCTTTTTGGCTGCTTCAAATTCATCTTCACTGTCACCATAATGTGTTTAAGCGGAAGTGCAGAAAAAATAACTTTGAGTAGAGTCCAGCTAGTTCACTGAATTGACAGAATACACCGTAAAGCCACCAAGGTGAATTACGATTGTAGCAACAGAACGATATATAATAATCTTTCTTTCGTGTTCACTTATTATCCATAAGTGTCGCCTCACTGTAAAGTGTAAGCATTCTAAAGCCTTAACACATTACGAATTAGCCCTAGAGCTGATGGTGTCAGACTAATCTGCCCACAGAGCCAGTCAATTCCACATATCTATAAACCTGTATATAAAACTCTTGATCACTTAAAAGATTTCCGCAGTATGTGCCAATAAAAGGCTTCACTGCATATCTACATAACCGCGAAGAGTAAATCCCCCTCGTCTGCAAATGCAACAGGCACACAAAGTTTGTGTTTTGCGATTCAACAAACGAGCCGGCAAACGGAAAGGTAGAATTGTGCATTTACATAATGATGTGTACATTAGCATATAAATCAAGCATTATATTTGCAAACACCCCCCATTCGCAGTATTTGCATGAGTTATCTCCTACAAAGGGAAGCTGTGATCCATAGAAATCAATTTCTTTAGTCATATTTATTTCCTGGCTCTTCAAGGCTCACTGCCTGCTTTGCTTTTGTATCCAAGAGGAAGAGAAAGGGAAGAATTATTTACCCACACTACTTCTGATGACTGCATCATACTCCTCTGGCATAAGTCAAACCCGCCCTGGCATTTTCTTTCTCTCTGAAAACTCCAGTCTCAAAAGGAGTAGGAGGATGAGGAGGAGGAGTGAAGGGGAGGTTTAGCACAAGATGAGGAAGGGAAATTCAAGTTGGAAAATAGGGAAAGAGGACTCTCCACTGTAACACCTACATTGTCTGGAAGCCGCGCATTAGCAGGCAAAACAGTAAATGTTTTATGGATTGATTCTAGCTTCAGGCCATAACAAGATAAGACAGTGGCAAAAACATGCTTACTAAAGGACTGAATACAAATATGTGAATCTATTGGAAAAATGAATACATGCTGTTCTGTTTCTCAGCCTATGAGCTTCAGGAGTGCCTGGATCCAGAGCCTTTCCGGTACGGAGTGGTGGTGGGGGCTGGCTTCAACGTGGGCCAGTCCATTTCCTTTGAGTGTCTGCCCGGTTATCTGCTAATGGGACATTCCATCCTCACCTGTGAGCATGGCACCACACGCAATTGGGATCACCCTTTCCCTCGATGTGAAGGTGAGAGAATTCAGATTAGTCGTTTTAATAGCCATACATTATGGACATTTCACACATTTACCAATCCGACCAGTTAATGACTTCCTGTTTAGAATGTATTGAGCTATTTGGCATCATTAGTGCAAATAGCGGCTACGTGTATGGACATTATGATTATCTATTATGAATAAAGCAATTAAACAGCATTATCATCCCCATTAATGAAGCAAAGTAGTCTTCAGTGAAAATCAATACTGTGCGTAAGAGAAATGGAGTCAAATAATAGAAATTGAATAAAAGAGGGGGCTGAATTACAAAGAAAAGTAATGAGTGCTCCTTTCTTTCGCCTCGTCCTTGACCCACATTCACACGCTCTGGCTGTCGATTATTCAATACGGCAGACGAAATTACAGAGCGAGGTGACGGCCGTGACACTGGAACTTTTAAAATGGGCGAGCATAGAGATAAACGCGAGGGAGGGAAGGTGCAACGGAGTGAAAAGGAAGAAGGAAAAGGAGATAAGAGTTAATTCACTCAAGGCAATCATTTCTTTTGTGGCCTTTTTCATTATTCACGTGCTGTTCAGAACAGAAAATTATACCTGTGTGCTTGCATGTACAAGTTGGTACCTCATTTATCCATTAACAGGGACAATAAGTCATTTAGGATGGCACATTTACTCACACATTCGTAATACCGTTTTATTTTACAGATATTATCAGTCATGCTTCAGTTTATTTCCTTTATAAAATAGACATATTGAGCTTATTTGCTCTCAGCTATTGCATTACATGTCAGCAAACCATGTTGTAACACCTTCATTTGACCCCATACAGCTCAGTATATCCTGCTCTTTAGTTTCCTGTCACTACATTATTTGCACCGTCTCAGGGGCTGAGAGACATTGATTTGTGTTAGCTTGCTTCCACTTAGCTACTTGTCTTGGAATGATCATAATACAATGTTGCTGGCACTGCACTCTTTTCTGTTGTTTCTTTGTTTGTACTTCTGTCTGCATTCAACCTCTGCTGTCTCAAGTCTGCCTTCTTCATTATCCCTTTCCCATTGTTCTGTCTATTTATATTGTAGAACGGTTTGTATAGAAAAATACTTATCTGATTAATTGTATATTCATAGAGATCGCTGCGGAATAACTATTATTTTCCTGGTCTCTGTGGAAAAGGAGAGGCTGACAAAGACATTTTGTAAAGCTTTATTCTACTAATAAACCAACATTTATACACAATTTAATTCTAATTCAATCAATATAAACATGTAATTCACATGACAGTACTTTCACATGATATGATTAAACATATTATGATTCACATGATATGATTAACTTAACCATGTGAAAGCTCACATATCTTTTTCCAGACATATCATTTCATCATATTTTACTTGTTTTGCATTTTGAAAAATAAATTGCAACCATTTCTGAAGTTTTCTGATGCCACCTTACCCTTGAAGCAAACACACAATTCTACAGATAGGGTTTAAGTAGCTTGCCAGCTGATGGCTTCAGCCAGATGTGCAACTCGATAGAGTGTCCGGGGTTTAATCAATGGGTCTGATCGATAGCTCATTTAACTGCAGGTCCTGCAGTAGAGGGGCCTATCTACCATCGAGCTAAAGCAGGCCGCTGTATGACATGAACACAAACATAACCTGAGCGAGACAAAGTGATAAAACATGCAAACTCTGCTCTTGGAATTATCATATACTTATAGGCTTTATATGGTGCCGTTATGCTGAATACCTGTCTGGGTTGCTTGAGATGCCTGCACTGCTGTGATTACAACTCCTTCCTGATTGTTCCCTGCTCCACCACAGTGAATATGGGGTTTCTCTGAGGGATGTTAAGCTTCGTAATCGTTAAGTTGCTTAGAACCTCCTGAGTTCCTGAGGAATGTTTGAAATAAAGTTATAATTATTCTGCAAGCTGCTGTTTTGAGGCTGGGTGCAGGGTATATATAGTTTGTATGCGAGTGAGCGAGTTTTACTGTATTTGTCAGGCTGTTCAGGATATTTTTAACCTCAGGATATTTTGCATATGAACTTATGATGCTCTCAGCTTTGACACAGACATGCTGTTTTAACCTTAACTGTCACTCACACACAAGTTTACACATTTAGATGCATATCCATTCCTCAAACACATACTGTTTGCACACATGTCAAAATGCCAGTCTAACCCCTCGCCTCATCTCTGCGCTCTCTCTGTTCACCCCCAGTGGGAATGGGTTGAGGCCTTATCTTAGCAAAACACTCCATCCAAGTCCCCACTTGCTAACAGGCTTTACTGGCTAATCTTTAGCTCAGACAAGTGCCTGGGCGCTAGACGAAGAGCAAAGAAAGAGACACTGAAATGGAAAGCAAAAAATGGGGATGATAATTCATTTTTTTCTGACCAATTGAAGAAGAAGATTCAACTTATTGTCATTACGTAGTACAGGTACTATGTAACGAAACGGTTTCTCTGCATTTGACCCATCCTAGTGTTAGGAGCCATTATGCCATTATGTACGGCTTCTGAGTTACGGATATGTCCTGTTGTATTCCTGGCCCCCTGATATACGCTCTGCTTCCCTTCCTCCCTCCCTCAGTGCCTTGTGGTTGGAACATCACATCAGACAATGGGACCATCTTCTCCCCGGGTTACCCAGAGGAGTACCCCAACTCAGTAGACTGCTCCTGGCTGATCACCGTGGCTCCTGGCTTCGGCATCAAAGTCAACTTCACCCTGCTTCAGGTTCACGGGCCGCACGACTTCATCACTGTCTGGTGAGGAATTACCTTGACATTTCAGATACACTTCCTTTCTGCCTGTGGGTAAAGTTAAATTGTATTTTATCAATTTCTCTAGTGAGCAGACCAAGTCCATTTAAAAGAAATGTGGCAGCCTGTACTTCAACTTTGAAATGTTACAATGTTTATTTATTTGCGGTTCAATATTCTCGTTATCATCACCTCCATTGACTTGTTTTTCGATACCATCCTTCATCTCCTTGTCACCCACTTAAGCTTCTCTACCCGGTACACCTTTTTTTCTCCTGTGATATCCGCCTTTGTGGTGTTGTCTGAATCAGGCTCCAATAAGCTGATCTCTACTGCCCATTTCTCTCTTTCCATTTACTTTCCTCTTGAAGTGTATCCACAGCTTGTTTTCTGACTAACAGGTACAGTACGTCCTCCCACTACATGTGGCCCTCACCTTATTACAGTGGTAAATAGATCTACAGATCGAAAGCTCAACTCTGTCACATCTATGCATGCTTTCAATTTTTGTTTTATGTGTGTCCTTGATTTTCTTATCATGCTCCTCAAAAATACTTATTTGGAAATAGTTCTTAATGCATCTCCAACCACATCAATATCTATACAAATGTAGGATAATGAATTTGTGAGGTTTTTCATTTGGTCTTTTTATTTGCAATTTCAATGAAAAGAAAATGTTTTTCAGCAACATGTAATGTCTGTTAGCCAATCAGAGCAGTTTGTGAAATACAGTTCCCACTTCTGTGTGAGAGAAAAAACTTAGAGTAAGCTTTGGCTTGTAGAAATGTGTGTGTGCTAATGTTTGTGTCAGGATGCTTACCTGATAGTTGTGTGTATTTTCCCCGACTGAGTATCAGGGGTTAAATCTTCCTTTCATGGCCTCCATAACGCACGGCTGGGCCTGCCATATGTGCGAGCAAAGAGAGGATTTTGCATGCATGACGGTTGCCAGTCCCAGTTGATCCCCTCTCCCGAGATGAGCTCCAAAGGTCCCCGCTCTCAGTGACACCGGAGATCTGACTGCCAACCAAGCTGGCTACTTGACGACCAAATGAAAGTCCACATGGCGTTGAATGACATCTATGTTTTACGGACTGGGTTGCTTATAGAAATGTGTGTGAATATTTCATCCAGAGTTTGTATCACTTTGACGACATAGCTAAAGTAGACCAAAATGTACCCTTTTAAAGCTTATTGTTCATCTTCTGTAAAGCCCCCCGTCCTGCTCTTCCCCAACAAGCTCCTGCAGAGCCAAGATGGGGACTATCATGATCCCCAGTTTTCAGTTACCACCGCTGTGTATCTATCCACTGAACTACTGAGCCAAGGAAATGGGCCCAGTAATGGCGGCTTGGCCACAGTGCTGTCAGGCAGCAGTCCCTAGCCAGCCGTTTCCAGAGCTGCTTGTAATCTCCCATGCCCAGTCTGACAGCCAAAGACAGATGGTTTTTAAGCTGAATGGTTGTGGCAGGAATCTGGGAGCCGGCTTAATCGGCCGTGCCCACGCCATGGGACTGCCAAGGCTGGGCCGCCGCTTCCAGAGACACTCCCTTTGGATGGCAGTTAGCAGGGACAGCGCAATCCAGACCTGTCATTCCACGCTTATCTGTAATTTTTACCTTATTTCAACATAATCACCCTGAGCAGCCCAGAGTAATTGCTTTGGGTATGATGAAGTGAGAGCAGTTTGGTTATACTCTCTGGCATCTGGCTTTGTTTGTTTTTTCTCATAGAACTGCGTCACAGAGCCTCAAGGTTCTTTATGGTTAGAGACAGAGCGAGCATTTCTGCAAAGGCTGCTGACATAAAGTCCCCACGGATAATTATCATCACGGTTTAATGTTGGATAGCTTACCTGTGACCTTTTATTTTTCATTTCAAATGTATTATCTCTTCGATTTACACACGGCATCTAATGCACGTCTGTCCGTCCTGGGAGAGGGATCCCTCCTCTGTTGCTCTCCCTGAGGTTTCTCCCATTTTTTCCACTTAAACTGTGGGTTTTTCTCTGGAAGTTTTTCCTTGTACGATGCAGTGGCATTTTTTTTTTAATATTATTTTTAATATTTTTTTGTTGTTACATTTTTCATTAGTTTTACCAAAATAACTTGATTTAATTGTATTTAAAATAATATTTCCAAAGAAATAAATCCTTCGAATCTGCCTGTTCAGTTTCTGTTGGAATGTGAAGGGTTAAATGCCGTCTCTGCGAGTTATGTGAAGACGGGAGGGCTTGTTGGTCCCTCTCTACATTCACAGAGGGCCAGCTATAGTAACTCAACGAGAGAGTAATGTCAAATGACAGTACAATTGACCAATCATATCTTCCCTCTAAATGGGCGGGCTTTATTTTCGCGGACTTTATGACAAGTTCCGCCCGCTGTGAAGTCTATGCCAGAGGTGCAGTGACGCATCCTAAAACCCGGAAGTAAGCTGCGCTCGGATTCCCTCGACAGAAAGCAATGGGATTTCTCCATAGGGTTTTGGAAAATAGCTTGAAATAAGGTCTGTGGAAAACGAACCTGTTAGATAAATGCACGTTTTGTTCAGCCGGATAATATCCACATGTCTACCCTACTTTTATTATTTTCGAATCATAAATCTAATCGATAGATTTATGATCGATAGATTTATAATTAGCATAAATTCGTTCATGATGGCTCACTTCAGTGATAGTGATGACATCGTTGCGAAATTATTAACCGAGTCATTTTCAAGATTGAGTTACAATGATAAACTGGAGTGGCAAAGGATCAGCTGAATGACCCGCAAGTGCTTCATCCAAAAGGACCGGAGGATGGACTTTGTGTTTAAGTGATTTGATCATCAAAGGTAGGCCTAAGTCATTTTCAATGCGGGCCGACGTGACTTAATTCATTTGTAATTGCTACTTGGCTGTGGGTGCCCTGTCATGATAGGTGTTTATATAAATTATGTTGTTCTGTGTGGTAGAGGGTCGCTGTCATTGATGCGTTTTGCACCCCGGACCGCTGTTTTGATATTCCGCTGAAGTCTACGTTGAGACGTAATATCTCTTCTTTTTTTTCGAGGGAAGGGGGGGTCAGAGGGCCTAGGTATAAAAGTCACGGCTCGCCACTGGTACGATGTGAGGGTCTAAGGATAGAGGGTGTCGTTTTTTTCTCATACTGATATTCTGAACAATCTGTGCTGTTGTATTTGCTGTAAAGTGTCTCTACTGTAGGCTATTTTTATTATATGTACAGCACTTTGGCTCGACCAAAAATCATTTATAAATGTGCTATTTAAATAAAACTTGATTTGATTTGATTTAGGGATGGTCCTCTGGAGACAGCCAGGAAACTGGGAGTGTTCACTGATGGCGAGCCCAACGAGCCGCCCAGCAGCACATCCAATCAGCTGCTCATTCGTTTCCGTAGTAACACGGAGAAGGGTGGACTATTCCAAATCAGCTATCAAGGTATGTAAAGTACTCTTCTCAAGTGAGCGTTATCTGTACCATATATATTCTGTGTTTGACTCACTTCATGTCTTTGTTTCTCTCCATACAGCGTACAGACTGCAGTTCTGCCTGCCTCCTCCCATCATCCCTAATGCAGAGATCCTGATGGCAAGCAAAGAGTTTAAAATAGGTAGGTGGAAGCTGTCACAAAAATGCATAGTCATACATATGTAGACACAGATAATAACTAGGCACCCTTAACTTTGTTTATATTAGACATTGGACCCATCCTGACTTTTGGAATGTAAGCATTTTAAATATTGAATCCCTCTTTCGGTTCTTATTCTGGCTTGAAAGTTGCCCCAGGATCACCAACTTTCATATAAACTACTAGGGATGTAACGATATATCGAATATCGCGGTAAATAAATGTCTCAATACCGTCGTGAGACTGACAAAATCTACCGCGATGTTTTTTAAATTATTTTTATTTATTTTTTAAACCTTTATTTAACCAGATGGTCCCATTAAGATCATCAATCTCTTTTTCAAGGGAGACCTGTCCAACATGGCAGCAAGTAGGTTACAACATGAACATAAAACAACAGATAACACAAAAGGACATCGTATTTACAGTACAGGGCTACATTTACATACCTAGAGACATTGACAAGTACCAACAGTATATTTATATCTCGCCCTGTCAATAAGCCTCACCTTCTTGGCAAAAACGGTATTGTTTTTGAAGTGGTGGAGAGACAATGCACAGTTTGACCCACTGCTGTCACCCACGGCCAAAGCATATCTCTCTGTCCCAGCAACATCAGTACCAAGCAAGAGAGTTTTTTCCACAGCAGGGGATATTGTAAACGCCCAAACATCCCAGCTTCTACCTGGAAATGTGGACATGCTCATATTCCTAAAAGATATCCTTGATGATGCTGAGTGAGTGAGTGAGTGAGTGAGTGAGTGAGTGAGTGAGTGAGTGAGTGAGTGAGTGAGTGAGTGAGTGAGTGAGTGAGTGAGTGAGTGAGTGAGTGAGTGAGTGAGTGAGTGAGTGAGTGAGTGAGTGAGTGAGTGAGTGAGTGAGTTAGAGTTGAGTTACTTGAAAAACTAAAGTGAAACTTGATTTATTCTATTCAGGGTCTGACTATTATATTGTTGACACTTTAAAATACTACTATCTTACTAAAATGCTGTACAAATCAGAAGTATTATTTAATTAAAAAAAAAAATTAATGTAAGAAAAAAAAGAAGAAATCTCATTTTTTTCTTTATTTTTCAATATCGCGATAAATATCGTACCGTGGACTTTTTATCGCGATATTATCGTACCGTGAGTTTTTGGTATCGTTACATCCCTAACTACACATCCCATAATGCATTTCTACTGAATCCAAACTCACCCCAAACAGCATGACCCAGGGGGCTTTGAGGCAGCAGTATAAATGACTGATTATGACACAATAATCAGAAAGCCAGAGGGATTTGAGACAGGTGCTCTCCTTCTTCACTGTAGAAAACAATAGAGATTAATGCTCCTTATATGTTTGTTTACATACCTCCATGCCGGATAATTATTCTCAGAGACACAAAGGCATCAACACTGACGTAGTGTTCATCAATAGGGTTCCCAGTGCGGAATTATTATGGTACTTCTTTGCACTTTTAACTTTTCCTTTCACTTAGACACACAATGGATCATTATTACCTCAAATCAGTATCCCAGCTAAGGAGTGCTGATTAGTGTATAAAGACATTTTAAGTGGTATCAATCAGATATATTGTTTCCACCATCTCCGATCTGTCATTAACTGTTCTTCCTCCTCCTCCATCTCTCTCTGTTCAGGGGATATAGTGCGCTACAGATGTCTTCCAGGCTACCATTTAAGTGGAAACAGCATCCAGACCTGTCGGCTGGGGACATACTTGGAGTTTGAGGGGCCTCCACCCTCATGTGATGGTGAGTTAAAGTCTGAGGCTTGAAAACTTGAACACTTATCCAGGGAATGGCATGCTCTCTTGTCAGAAAGGCCCTATTCACACACTCAAGGTCAAGGGCCTTTCTCAACACGGGCTCCTCATCGGTGGTAGGACGTAAGAAGCAGGCACTGCTCTTTCAATTTCACTACCAATATGTATCCTGCCTGTCTGGGGATCTAATCTGTGACCCTAGAGCCATTAACTCCCTCTTTTCACACATTGACATTGCTAACCCTTCTGGCTAAATGTAATATTACATTATCCAGCTTTTCTCCAAATAATCTCTGCTCTAAACAAACACTGTAAAAGCATTGATTAGTTCAAGTACAATGTGATAATTGGTTACATGCTAAATTAATTCTGGTGTTCAAAAGTCTCTAAAGTTAGCTTATCTTTGTGCTGATGCAAAATGTTTTCATTGCTTTATTTATGTGTGATGTTGTAAAGATAAAAATCAGCTTATCAAATAGCAGCTCTACCATTTAAGTGAGCAAATGTTAGTCAATGATTTTCAATTGCTGTTCTGGCATTCTTTTGCTTCCAATTTGTTATAAACATATCCAAACGCAGGTGAAACTGTGTCTCCCTCTGCCAAAGCGACTCTCAGCGAGTTTATTTCCAGCAGGGTTATAGTGTGACAGTATCATTTTACCCCTAATCATTGACTCATGCACTAGTTTGCCTTATTTCTTACTCCCATGGGTAATCTTTCTGCGTGTAGTCCTGAAGCTGCAGCCACATATAATGTAGGCACTACTTTCTCTCTCTGTGGATGATACGTGGCTCCCATGAGGCTGAGGCTGGCTTCTGTGTGGCTCACTACATGCTGAGATATGATCCTCCCAGAAGAATCAATGAGTGCAGTGTTCCCAGCACACTGTATGATCATAACACTGCATGTTGTGTGCAAAACTCCTCTGGGCCAGAGACTGGGTGCATCGAGGGGTCCCTGTGTTTCTTCTCTGCTATTAATATCATAAAAGCATATTTAATTCTCTTGTTTCCTTTTTTTAAACATATTGAATCTTGTTTCCCCTGTTTTACTGTGGTGTTGTCATTCTGTGTGTTACTTTGTTGGTGGATTGTGACAAGGGAGAGTATGTAGAATATCAGAAATGCAACTCATTTTGAGTGCTATTTAGGAAAGATATACAATGTATGGAAGAGGAGGCAGAGTTGGTGAAATAAAGAGGGCAAATGAAGAGTCAAAGGCGATGTGTGAGGTAGGGCTGCTCAATTAATCGTATTTTAATCGCAATTACGGCTTGCAACGATTACGAAAACAACATAATCGAAATAAAACGATAATTTTTGTATTAATTAATGTATTAATTTTTTTTTATTATTACTTTTTTTTTATTGGTTTTTCAGTTGAATTTTACTTTCAGGATAAACTGTTAAAAACATACCGTTTTTTTCTCCAATAAATTGATGTTTTCAAAGTAAATGGATAATCATTTTTAATAATCGTGAGATTATGATTGATTTTTTCCATAATCGAGCAGCCCTACTGTGAGGTAATAATAATGATGTGGAACAAAGTACTCAGGAAATAGAGGCGACTGAAATCTCAACATGAATTGAAGGGGAAAAAAGTAATATTTGTGTGTGTGTTTATTTCCGCCTCTATGAAGTCCTCCCACTCTACCTAGAAGCTTTTGCAAGAGAAACAACCACGAGCTTCGCTTTTTATTTGAATTTTGAAAATAATGATTTGCCTACAGCTTCGGCTTGCCAAGATAAACATATCTCTGTGTTTTGAATGTGTGTGTATGTTCATGGCTTTTATGGAACGATAATGTGCTGAGAAACACTAAGAACAAACAATTCCATCATCATACTCCTCTTTCCTGCAAGCTGTCATGCTACTGCATAGACTGACTGGTTGAGGGAGAGGAGAGCGAGTCACGAGTTGAGTGAGAGGATGTCAAAAGAAGAGAGGAAAGAGCAAAGTATGGCAACAGATGCTAGTGAGAAGGAAGAGAAGAAGATTGGACGGTGAAGAATGAGGGACAGTTTGTCTCAGGATTCTTAAGGGGGTCAAAAATAAGTTTGTCTTGAAACATAGAGAGAGCTAAATGAGCAGGAAGGTGGCTAGTAAGTGAGAGCAGGACAGGAGTTAAAAAGAGAGGAGAGGAAGGGAGAGACTTAGATGGAGGGCAGCAAGGAGACGAAGTGCACAGCTCATTGAAATGCAGGGCACATGCCGGCTGCAGCTGCACCTATCAAATCACCACGTCTAGCTCTGACACGTGCACCCCTCCTCGCACACCCCACAAGATACACATTAAACTGCACACACTCGTGCATGCACTGTATAAACACACGCACTGGTCTGTCATGTGACCGCGTTACACAGCAGTGGATGTTCTCATTGTGAGCTGCACTGGAGTCTACAGGCGGTTCTGCAGTGTTGCTTGTCCCAAAGCGCCGGTATCTTCTCTCATCCTCTGCATTCCCCCCTGTCTGCACTCCTTCCTCCCCCTCCCTCACTCGCCCCTTTCCTCCAATGACTCACAACGTCAGACTTCTGTTTTTATGTAACACATATACCCTTTATTCCCTCTTCTCTCATTTTTTTCTTTCTGAGCCTACTTCACAACACAGTGAAATATACACATTTTCACACAAGGCTGTCTATCAATACCCTAGCACTGAGATGGATCAGAAGACACATAGAAACACACTCACTCTTGTTTTTCTTTATTTAATCCAGAGATGTGTCTCCAGTCACGACAGCGAATGGGTTTTAGCCTCTCTTGTGTTTCTGCCATCGGAGCAACCAGTTGGGTTGTGATTTATCCGCTATTTGATTAAACTGGGTCGTATTGGACCCACAGCCCTTAACTGCATCTGCTGCTGAGACTGCGGGGAGTTCCAGCAGCGCGCACACACAAACACAAAGCAACAGCATCAGTACAAAGTGTTGCTTGAATTCATTAATGAAACCCAATGAGCTCTGATGATCCAAAATCCCTGTGTTCTCATTCATAACACTCCGTTTGATGTCTCACTATGGGATGCGCCTCATCGCGGAGCAAACAGAAGCATCTGTTACGCCAATCCTGATTGGCTGGTGATCTTGACGTCAGCGTCAGGGAATTCACCCCCTATAAGTAGCTTGCGCCACGACGTATGCGCCATTCAAACACCTCTTCTCGCTTCAGAGCACATCTCTATAGTAGCCGGACAAGCTTAACGGTCCACAGACTGAACCCAAATAACCCTTTCGGTCGACGGGCGCTCGCCGGCTACTCCTTCTGCTTCGCAGGGAGACGGTAATACTAACGCCAGTTAGTATTGAAATCGACCTTGCCGTTCTCTTTCCCCAGAAAGTAAGGTAGGTCTGATTTTTTTCAAGCTAGCGTTAGCTCGCTCCCTCACTATCGACACCACGGTAGCGAGGAAGTTTTTTCTTTTCTCTTCCCCACGGAGGAGGAAAGGATTAAAGGAGCATACTGTCACACCAGTCAGTATTCTCCGGGAATAAAAGACCCACACCGTCCTTTTCTCCGGATTAAGGACAGGGTGGTAACACCTTTTTCTCCCAACCTACCTGTTGAGAGCGGGTCCTCTCCACGCCACGAGGCGAACAAGATGGACGCCTCTCTCCCTCACACCAGAGGTGTGACTCGGTGGCTCGACTCTGTGGCTGCGGGTTGAAGATCTCGGGCACAGACACACACCAGGTCTGCTCGTCCTGCCTCGGGCTGGAACACGCCCGAGGCGCTATCGACAACCCCGGCTCGTGCGGACATTGTGTCCGCTTCACCGTGAAGAGCCTCCGCCGACGGCTAGCACGCCAAGCTAGCCTGTCGGAGCAGGACCCCCCCATGTCCACTGACCTGCCGGCCGGCAGTCAAGATGCGGGGGCGTCCGCCGCAGAGAGTGAACCCCTCTCCGTGTTGGTCTGGGGCTCATTATCTGCGATGGCTGCAGAACCGGAATCCCGCGCCCTGGCAGGCCGGGACCCGGTGACGGCAAGACACGCGGGAACGGGACCCCACGCTTTACCGAGCTGGGGCTCCCGGTTAGACCTCACCATGGTCTCACCCACGGAGGATGTCCTCGAGCTGGACTACGATGAGGACGAAGAGGACACCTCGGTGTTCCTCCTGTCCGAGTCGGATGAACATGAAGAGGACATCTTCATGTCATCGGCTCAGGCTGCAAAGCCTGGAGCGAGGGCTGCTCTTCCGGGCGATAGCACACCAGCTTCACCCTGTCTGAGCATGGACCTGCAGGCCGTGTGTAAACGCGCCGCGGCCAGACTCGACATCCTGTGGCCTGAAATGGCCAAGGAGACCTCCAGGTCCCGCTACGAAGGGAAACATTTTCCCCAAGCAGCGCGGACAAAGAGGCAACTCCTTCCGGTCTTCCCGGAGATGTTGGATGAGGTGTCGGTCTCGTGGAGAGACCGGCCCTTCAGCAACAAGGTCCCAATCCAGGGTGCCTCCTCACTAGACTGTGACGGAATGGGGAAGCTCGGCCTGCTCCGCATACCGCCCATGGAACCGCTGGTAGCGGCCCACCTCCTACCGAGGATGGGCCCGTCACCACGCAGGAACCCCACTCTGCCAGCAAAGTCGGACCGATTTCAGTCGACAATGACTGAACGGTCCTACAAAGCCGCAGCGTTGTCCGCCAGGGCCTGAATGTGTCCTCGCTGCTAACCGCTTACCAAGCGGAGCTCTGCGAGGACCTGTCGGGTAACCCGGGGGCAGCCACTCTGGACGAGATGGCAGCGGTCACGGACATTTGTCTTCGTGTCCAACGCTGCGCCGTCCAGGCCACGGGCAAGGCAATGGGGATCATGGTGGTGCAGGAAAGAGCGAGATGGCTCAACCTCACCAACCTCCCAGACCGGGAAAAGGAGGATGTGCTGGATATGCCCATCGTTCCCGAGGGAATTTTCGGCTCCGCTCTTGCTTCCATGCAAAGGAGGTGTGAGTCGAAAAAGAAGGAGGACGAGGCACTCCA